ATCAAGAGGTATTTCGGTGAGCAGTTTCAAAAAGGGAAAGTGGAGGTTAAACTCCACAAGTGAAGCAATCGCGTCAAGCTAGTGACGTTAAAGAAGCGCTGAACGGGAGGCAACCCGTTATTTCTACCTTATTTAGTTATTATTTTCTGTTGTTCCTTTCTTTTGAATAAATGAATGGAGACTTGTCGCACCTACGTGGGGGCAAGATTTTATATGTGTGTTTCATGTGCAGATGCCTCACAGACCAGCATACCCGACTGCTACGCGTGCCGATGTTCACCTGGTGGGTTCTGGACCCATCCAGCGCTTTGAGATGTGGGGCCGTCACCGCTCATTGATGGAGTCTGTGTACTTATCCTCGGCAGTTCTCGCCGACTACGGATATGCTGAGGAGATGGAGCAGCTGCTACAAGGGACTAGGTGGCATCGCCTCTTCATGATGCGGGCCGAGTCTAGCCTGCCACTGACGATCGAGTTCCTGCGCTCTCTAGAGTTGGAGCCATCTACAGGGTCGAGAATGATGAACTTCCAGTCCATCGACTCTCGAACCACCCTTACCTTCACTCTCATGGGGCGGGGGTTCCACCTGACAATCACTGAGCTGGCCTCTCACTTGGGTCTCTACTCTCGGGATGAGACGTTGGAATCAGAGTTTAATACTGCACCATACCTTCTCCCAGCAGACGTTGATCCCGCGGACTTTTGGGCGGAACATTCTTCCGATCCTGATCGCTTGGAGGACATGGGTAGAGCCAGATTTTGGATTCAGCCGACTTGGCGAATTCTATCTTTTGTGCTTTCGACGTCCTTCTTTGGGAGGCCGTTGAACACGGATCGAGTATACCCCGATGATATGATTGTCTTCTGGAGCCTGCACACATGCCGGGAGGCGAATGTGGCTGTCTTTGTGGCCCGATTCCTCTATAGCCAGTCCATGGGGAATCGTACGCACATTGTCTGTGGTTTCGTGGTCACCATACTCTTCCGATCACTCGAAGGGTCGCCTATTCCACGGGCCCAGATGATGATGCGAGATTTGGATGCCGGCATGCTGAGGAATGCCCACATCCGTAGGAGGTTGGGAGCTGGCTCTACCGAGAGCAACGCCGCTTCCTCATCTGCACCCTCGACCTCAGGAGCATCTTCGCAGGTCTCGTCTAGGAGAGCCACTCGTCACCGTCCCACTCCTCAGGCCACTCCAGCTACGATCCAGGCGGATCCGACCCCTGAATGGGCTAGGAGGATCCTGGAGCAGCAGGATACCATCATGCAGAGGATGTCCGAAATCGGACAGCAGCAGGCATCCCAGGCCGAGAGCTTTGCTCAGCTTCGGAGGACCTTTACTGGCTTCTACTCAGATGTGCACATCGGGCTCACCCCTCGTTCTCTTGAGGGCGACGATCCATCCGCCTCAGTTCCTCCCCCTTCGTGATCTTCATATTATTTTCTTTTGAAAACTTTTATTTCTTTTCGTTTATGAGCAGGAATTGATGATCAACTGGATTTGTTGGAACTTCTTATTTTCCGCCGGTAACATTTACTTATGCACTTGCTCTATTTCTATTTCAATCAACTTCTTTTGATTTATTGATGTGTGAGTTCTTTTGTTATTAGTCAATCATTCCAACCCGGTATTATACTCCTAACATTTTTTTTCCCAACTGCGGGGACGTGGTTGTGTTCAAGTGTGAGGAGGACAGTTACCTGGTTGAAATGATTGAATGAAACGTGTTTTACTTGTATACTTGTAGGCAACTTTGGTTTTAGCATAATCATCAGCCTAATATTGAATAGTTAATTGATAAGGTGTCAAGCATATAAACTGAGAATTTCCAAGAGTTTGGCAAACTCCTACTTTTACATGATTTTTTTTCAAATAGACTACTACCATTGCTGAAATTAACTAGTATTTTCTTAAAAGTATTTTTTAAAGTCAGATACTTTAATTGCCTTTAAGAACTATTGATTTCACTAGAATTCGTAACAATGTGTAAAGGTCTGCAATATTTGCTTCTTGTAACCCTTAATCATGAATTTTCGCTAAGATTGCGCTTAAGTGACGAATTGGAAATTCTATCTCCATAAAGGGGCTCTGCTTCTCCCGCTAATCGCATAAGGCGAGGGAGCAAGTACGCATTTGTCATAGAATAAATCCACATTCTTGGTGAAATAAATAAGTTTCTGTGAAATGAGAAGTTTTCTCTTCGAGAAACAATACAAATTGAAGTTATTAAGACCTTTACATTATTGGCAATTATTCGTGAACAATGGGCTTCACAAGAGATAGTTGAATCTATTTGATCTTAATAACTCTTTTAAGAAATACATTCGTTTCGGTAAATGGTCTACTTCTATTTGATTTAATCAAGTAAAAATACATGTTTGGTAAAATACTTGCACATTACCAGGGGAAATGTGAGACAACTCTAAAAAATTAGCTATTCAACGAAGTCTGATGATTATGTTAGTTGAATTGGCCTCATAATGATGCAATTAAAGCTCTTTTCAGCAATAATAATAGAATGCCATACTTTCGGTGATCTGAAGTAGTTGCTTGAGGGCAAGCAACGTTTAAGTGTGAGGAATTTGATAAGTTCATTTTGTTCTTATTTTATTCTACATATTTTCGTCCAGTCTTGATTGTTAATTTTTCTGCTCATATTTGAAAGAAAAAGAAGTTTTTAACTGAGAATTTTATCATGAGAATATCGGAGGAAGCTGAAACAAACTGCGAAGCAAAGTAAAAATTGAAATTGGGCCTGAATTGGATCAAGCCGCGGAAAAAGCCCACAGGAGAAGGCCCAAAGCGTCCAAGCCTTGGACGCTTTGCAGGTTGGACGCTTCCCCTTGGACGCTTGGCAAATATTGGGCTTCACGAAAGCCACGTGGCGAGCAGCGAATGGATGGGCCGTGTAAGGCGTCCAACTTTGGACGCTTTGGATCTGGACGGCTGGGGTTGGACGCTTCGCGTCCAGTCCTATAAATACAGCACTCCCCTCCCCGATTTGATACGCTGCCCAGCTGGTGAAGAATTTTGGTTTAATTCAAAATTCCCGTAGTAGTAAAGGGAAAAGACTAGACCTTTAAAAGATCAGTTTATCCCGTGTCGTCTCAAGGATCGGCCCAAGGGAAAGTTTAGCAAGACTAGCTAGACAAGATTTACTCGTTGAATTAAAAAGTTTTCAATAAGTCGAATAAGGAATGGAGATTGAATTTTACCTTTTAGGAATAAAGAGTAGGGATGTAATTATTGGTGAGGTGATGATTCTTTTTAGAGTAAAGTCACCGGTTACTTTTATTTTAAATCTTTTTACTAGTAAGTAAGTATCTTTTCAAATATTTACTTAACAATCAATCCAATGTCTATAGATCAATTATCAAATTACTGGGCTTGACTTAATTAAATTCCAGATTTCTCAAGAAATATAATTTTCAAGAATAGATTTGCCTTCTCTCGATTTACAAATCTCAAGTATAAATTCTCAGTAATAAAAACTAGTAATTTGCCTTGACAATAATATAATTCAACTCAATGATTTTCTCAGAAAATTACCATCACCATTCCAATAATCACACCCCTAATTAATTTAGCTACTCATAATAAAAACCTTCAACACACATGCATCATAAGAAGACATTTTTCAATTAAAAGTAGAGAGTTGACAAAACTTACTTCGACAATCTGAAGAACTGGAGGTTCGGGCTTACAATTTGCTCCGTGAAAACTCCAGGAAACAATACTAATCTAAAATATGGAAGTAGCTTTGTAAATCTAGACTAAAAATGGAGAAATTCGGACTTGGGAGGGAGAGAGGGGCGCTGTGCAGCGTGTAAAATCGAAGGGGGGAAGTGCTGTATTTATAGGACTGGACGCGAAGCGTCCAACCCCAGCCGTCCGGATCCAAAGCATCCAAAGTTGGACGCCTTACGTAGCTCGTCCATTCGCTGCGCGCCACGTGCCTTTCGTGGTGCCCAATCTTTGCCAAGCGTCCAAAGGGAAGCGTCCAACCTGCAAAGCGTCCAAGGTTGGACACTTCGGGCCTTTTCCCGTGGGCTTTTTTTTCGCGGTTTGATCCAAATAAGGCCCAACTTCTATTCTCATTTTGCTTCGCAGTTTGTTTGAACATCCTCCGATATTCCCATGATAAAATTCTCAGTTAAAAACTTCTTTTTCTTTCAAATATAAACAGAAAAATCAACAATCAGGACTGGATAAACTTTAAACCAATTATTATTCCTTAAAGAACAAATCAAAGATATTGTTCAGTTTAACATAAAATTATGTACTGCTTACCACTATTTTCGTGCAATAACGCTTAAAATATGTAGAATAAAATATGAACAAAATGAACTTATCAAATTCCTCACACTTAAACGTTGCTTGCCCTCAAGCAACAACTTCAGACCACCGAGAGCATGACATTCTATTATTATTGCTGAAAAGAGCTTTATTTGCATCTTTATGAGGCCAATTCGACTAACATAATCATCCGACTTCGTTGAATAGCTAAGTTTTTAGAATTGTCTCTCATTTTCCCTGAAAATGTGCAAGTTTTTACCAAACATGTATTTTTACTTGATTAAATCAAATAGAAGTAGACCATTTACTGAAACGAATGCATTTCTTAAAAGGGTTATTAAGATCAAATAGATTCAACTATCTCTTGTGAAGCCCATTGTTCACGAATAATTGTCAATAATATAAAGGTCTTAAAAACTTCAATTTTTGACGAGAAAACTTCTCATTTCACAGAAACTTAATTATTTCACTAAGATTGTGGATTTATTCTATGACAAATGCGTACTTGCTCCCTCGCCTTCTGCGATTAGCGGGAGAAGCAGAGCCCCTAATGGAGATAGAATTTCCAATTCGTCACTTAAGCGCAATCTTAGCGAAAATTCATGATTAAGGATTACGAGAAGCAAATATTTAGTGCAGACCTTTACACATTGTTTAAGAATTCTAGTGAAATCAATAGTTCTTAGAGGTAATTAAAGTATCTGACTTAAAAA